TGTCTGTGGCTTCATGGATAGCTTGTTTGAGGCGACTGCATTCGATGCACATGCTATGGTCTGAAGCCCGTCTCATCTTGAGGCAAACATCCCACTCTTTGGCAACTGTGTAGAATGTTGACTTGCAAGCCGCAGAGCTACCATCTGGATTCACACGGTGCCATGCCAGAAACATCAGATATAAGGTGGCTTTGTTGCCAGGAGGCAATTCCCGCCTTGGAAGGCTCTTGATATCCCGGTTGTGCAACTGATGAATTGGTCCTTGAAGCTGATTGTCAATCAACTTCCTGAGAAGTTCCTCCCGCAGGTCTGCATCTGTTTTTGCCAGCTTGGCTGTTGCAACTGACTCATACCTTAGTTGTTGCTGGGCATGTGTTTCTTCATCGGCTCAGCACATAGCATGCATTAAAAGCAACCAAGGCACGTTGTAGCCATGGGTTCTGCTGCTGTGAAATATAATTGTGTATAGAATGCCATCACGGATGCTCGCTGTTTGGCCAATGGAGCTGTTGAACCTGACTAAATTGAGAATAAAACATGCAAAGGGAATTTGAGAATTTGTAACAAGCACTCAAAGTTCAATAGCAATTCAGGTTGTGGCCCTGATTGATGGCCCGATCGTCCATGCCACGATAGCGCTTCCTGCATCTCATCATGCGCTGCTTCCCCAAACCCATGTACCGGATAAAGGCTTCCCGGCACAATTCATGTCCTGGTCCATTTGTCACAAAATTGGCTACCAACTAACACACAATTCAATAGCATGACAGCTGAACAAACAGTTTTCATCCTTCAATGTAGTACTTCTTCCGCGTGTGAGGGTTAGGAGACCACTGCATACTCCAAAGCACCGAATCTTGAACCTTTTTTGGCAGTTCCCAGAAGCTCTTGCAAACCTTTTGCAAAGGTTTGGTAGGCATTGTGCACCGGCACGAACATGGTGGAGATTCCATGAGGGCTTTGATTCGCTTACGGGCCACCCCATTGGCAGCAAATGTTGAGGTATCTTGGTGTTCTCCATGTTGGTGATAGGATTCGAGCATTCTAAGATCCAGGGACGCTGCCTCATAGCCTCCTTCCCCATTGTCTTCAGATTCTGAATAATCTGAATCGTCCCCACTGTCAAGATTCCTAGGTCGATTAGTGGCTTGTCACACTGTGCAAATATTATATTAATAATCTATTATATAGTAACATAGTAGTAGTAATAGTAATAGTAATAGGCATCAAGGATGTCGGAATAGATCAGTCATGGCACTCATCATCGGAATCAGCATCCCCCTGTGAATTATCGTCCGAGGAGTCGTCATAGCGCCAAACATTGCTTTTTTTTGCAGGCACCAGATCGTCGGCTTCGTCATCCCAGCGGCTAAGGACCGGCATCGTTTGAAGTAAAAGGTTGAAAGTCATTCTGTTGTTGTTGCAGGTCAAAGCGGTGCCACTGAATGTCTCTTGTGTCATTACACGACGACGTTTGTTTTTATTTATGCCATGTAACAACATCCTACCTCGGAACCTGAGAATGCCCAAAACGGATTCAGTGTTTGCTGGAAGTCTTTTGCGCTGCAATTAAATTTGTTTGTACATGACCCAGCCGTACATGCACAGAACACTTTTTTGCTGTCCTGTCAACATCATAAACCTAAGTCTGCAAATACCCGTAAGCTTTGCGTGGGTTCATAGCCTTGAAGAGGATGCTCAATCCCATCAATACAGAGCGCATAGCCATGCCATTTCCTGCCAGCTTGTGCAGCTCCTGAGTATGACAGCAGGGAACACTGCACATACCCCATGAAGTAGAACTTCATTAGCTTGAATGTGTCCCAGGCTCCCGGTCTGTAAAGGTCTGACAGGATAGTGATCTCATAGGAAGGCCCATGAAGATGCATGCCTCATACCCTCGGCTTTGCAGGATGGTGCTTGTGAGTGTGGCGGGAATTCGAAAGGTTCATGCTGATGGCATTTAAACGCCAAGTTTCCTGTCAGGTAGCGCTGCTTCTTTCCAAGATAGAACTGGCCTGCAGGCCTTGGTATGGGTACTGCTCACCATGGATCTGACATGCAGGTGTATACACTAAGGTCACTAGGGTCAGGACGTAATGCAAGGAAATGGGCTTTCCTCATCCACCTTGGGGCTCATGCGATCAATATTTTGTGAAGTGTTCGCCACAAAGAGCTCCGCATTCTCCGATTTTTCTGCCCAACATGTGAGCAGATCCAGGGCCTGAGCGCAACAATCCATGTCACAGTGAAGCCGCATAAACGATTCAAAAGTTCATGTTGAAACCAGTAGCATGAAGTTCGCGCCGCGTTGTGATCTGTTTCACAGCCGCTGGATAGGTCTTCTTGAAGAAGCCACTGTATTTTTTCACCTTCCAGTGGGTGGATTGCTCAACTCCTATTTGCAACCATCACAAAACAGGCCTTCTTCTGGACAGCCCAATCTCTGTGACGCTCCACCCACTTTGGCTGCTTGTTTGGCTTCCTCAAACAAGACCAGCGACATGTTAGTAGTCCCAGCTTCCATATGACTGTGCTAAGAAACGGTTTGGCAAAGTTCTTCTTGTGAAGGTCCATGTTATGCCTGGTCGAGTTCACCACCGCATAGTGGCTATCATCGAGCAGCAAGTCGTTCCTAAGATGTGTCAATCAAAATGACGACGTTAGTGTGTTTGTTCATTTTTTGTTACCTGTTTCTCAGCCTTGTTTTGGTCCAGGTGCCAAGAACATGTAGCGGGCATGGCACACTTCTCAATCAATTCCGTGGCAAACTTGTGAAAATCACTTTTTGCAGCTCCAGTCATGAGGGACTTCAGGACAAAGAGAACATATACTCTGTCCCGCGATACAGGGCTCCCGAATTGGATCCTGGGCGGCGCAGTCAGCTGGAAATGGACAGCAAGGGCAGGGCAGGTTTCAAGACATGTTGTGCCAAAGTGCGGGTCCATGTCAACCATCACAAAGCTGTGCCTGAGTTCCCATCAGGCGTCTTTCTTGTAGCTCTATGTTGTTCTGATTCAAAACATTTTGGTCTTACGAATCCAAATGAACCCAAGCTTCTCTGGCAGGTTTTCTTCTAGGACTCCACGGACTGTGTCCCAAACACCCACGAAGCCTCGTACATTTTCAAGCATGCCCGCCTTGGTTGTCAATGAGTCACGGATAATATTTTTTGGTGAAACACACTGCATCTAGACTCCCTGAAAACTGTATGCTGCAAAAAGGCAGCTGGCTGACAGTTTTTCAGATTGCGTATCACTTGCCACAACTGGCCCGCATTCTCATCCTCGAGAAGCCCCCTTGCCCCCAACAAAGAGTATGGAGTGCAGGGGAAGCCTGCTGCATACACGCAGACCTGCAGGGATCAACTGTGTGAATTCTTTTCATTGTGCTTTTGCCCCCCTGTGCCTTCCCCTTCAAGTGCTTGCATTTCACATTGTAGATGTCGGTGTTGCTCCTCAGTGTGCTAGGCATTTTACTTGGAATCTAGGGTGTGACATCACTCAAACACATCGTTAGTATGTAAAGATATGTAAAGCTTCTGTACCGGAGTCTTTGCATTGATCTCAAGAAACCGCCGTGCTACCCCATCACGTTCACTGTTGCTCCTGAGTGGCTGAAACCAATGGTCTGGAAATGCCGAGAAAACACACCAAGGGTTTTAAAGGCCAAGTGGCAAATAGCGTGTAAGGTGATTTTTGCCGGCTTCTGAAAGAAGTAGGTCAAGTCCCATCAGTGGAGTATCCATACCACTGCCTTAAGAGTCTTAAGAAAGTACTTTGTGTGTAGGAAGACGTTACTCTCTTCACAAGACTAAAAAAAAGCAGCCAAGGAACAGTCACTCATGTAACCAATGGGCTTTGTCCACTGAGACAGGGTATGTTGCAAGCCTGATATTTTGACACAGGGACACATGAACTCCAATCAAGTACGAGGGACATCAGGCCAAGAAACCAGTCAATCTGTAGAAATCTGCGGCGCAGTAGCTGAAGATCTCGTGGACTTCAGTGAGCTCCTGGCAAGCTTGATTAAAAAAGATCAGCACTTCAGGGTGGTTGAGGCAACCAAAGGGCAACTGATTCAAATCTTGAGACCCTGACCTCATCCTCCTTGGCATCAAAGATTGTGCCATCATCTGAATCAGATGATATTTCACGCCAAACTCCCATGGCACAACCGGGTCCAACTAATTGATGGCCCCTGAACCCTCGAGCCCAAAGACCCGGTTCCCAATTGCAAAAGACCCACTTGCTATTGGACTTGCTTTACTACAATAACATATATAATATATATATATATAGTTGGCTACACATGTGATTTCTTTCCCAGAAGCATGATGATGACGGTTACTCGCGGCTCAAAGTTGAAGATATAAAATTACGCTTCTGTTGGCGAGTGCGGTTTGATGCTGCTTCTGTTGAATTCATACTTGCAGAAATATGGTGAATGGGTGAGCGCCTCTCTAATTCACATGCTACTCATCTATTTGTGGGATTCCCTGTTTGGGGTCATACAGTACCGTCATACCCATTGTGACAAAAGGTCCTGGGCAATTTAGAGGAGCCCTAACTGATATTAATTAGATGATAGCGAGACAGTCATAACAGGTGAAGTAATATATAGCTACAGGAAGCAGAATCCGAGAACATAATTATACACTTTTTTGTACAGGGTGTGGGCATAGGTCCCACATCACAACAGAAGGCGTGGATACATCATCAACTTGGACAACATGTTGGTCCCAAGAGGAGACGGTGAGTTCCCAGTGAGAATCTGACCGCCGGAACCCAGTGTGATATGAGGCTTCTTTCTGACCAAAATGGTCTTCGAGAACTGTAGGCATCCACAACGATGAGACAACTGCGAGGCCGAACAAGTTGAACCAAAGCCTCCTCGCGACTTGTGCAAGTCACCTTCGTTCCACCTGGTTCAGTCCCAAGGGGTTTCATCCCTGTTCAGCCACGCCCACACCCACCGCACCATCACGCGTGGCCCCTCTCCTTTCGCCCAAGTTGGGCCAGCAAGCATTGACGTCCACCATGGCCCTCTGCACAGGTCTCCTCCTCCAAACAGACCTGCCAGGTGGAAAGGAGGGCAACTCGAAAAAACAAGCAAGAACCCCTCCGCCAGCGGCAGACTCACATCCTGAGGATGTGGAAACACTGGCATCCTGAGGTATGCTGGGATCATGGGTGGTGTTCAACATGGCTCAACACTGTAGAACCTTTGGAGGCTCAGCTCTCTTCAGCATGCCAACTCCATACCAAAACTCTTTGCGCAGCACCGTCTTGCAAGCCGGAAGTGCCTTTTCTTCCCTAGCTGGTCATAGCTTCATAGCTGAACACACGAAATCATTCATCACCACAGCGACTTCGGGGTGCCCAAGGAAGTCGGGGTGCCCAAGGAAGTCGGTTGTGCCATGGAACCTCTGAAACTGTAAATCTTTTCCGCTCACAGCCCTTCTGTGCGAGGATATCAGCCTTTATCCATCCGATGAGTCAGGATAAGAAGCCAAGAAGCGAAAAAAAGCAAAAGAAAACAAAACACAAAAACAACGGACAGGCACACTTTCGCGTACGAACTGGACAGGGCGAGTGCCGGCACCGGCTCGGAGAAACAAAGAACCGTAGCCCCTGTTGCGACCCCAAATTCGTAGCCCCTGTAGTGAAACATGGCCAAAAACAGCACAGGACTTTCAATTCTCCGCCATGCACGTCGTATGCCAACTGCTCACCTCCGGGTTGGCAGTGCAACGTTCGATCAACACCGGGGAGGCGCGATCCGCAGAGGCCTCAGCAGGTGGATGATGAAGAGAATAACAGCGAAGCCTCCATCATGTACACTCTTGATGAATAAAACCCTATTTGGAGTGTAATACCTCTTCATATGGTGGCCTGAGTAGAATCAAGAGTCTACATTAGCTGAAAGTCAAGCTTTATATACAACAGAAACTACTATATACAGCTCTTTCTACTGCCCCGGTTCACGGGCTGTGGCATGGACTGTCCGCAAGTCGTACTACTATACCATCTCTTTCTCTTCCGAAAGCTGAAACTTGCACAACCTTACATAGCAAATGGAGCCACCTCAGTCAGTCTTCTTCTGGCGCCCACTATGGTTCTTCCAGTCGACTCCAAGAACCGAGTCTTCACTCCTTCCTTTCCTCACTTTTCAGGCCTTCTTCTCCCACCAAACCCACCTCATCCCACCTCCTGTTCTTCTAAGCTCAACGGACGTGGAACGGAGCTCTTGGAGCGGACGCCCAACACGAAGCAGTCAGGGGCATTCGGACGCCATGGACGGACGGTGCTCTATTTAGGGCATGAATGAAGGAGTGGAACCTCTGTTTAGGAGCAGTGTTGAGGAGCAGGTTCCCTCATGTTTTGGGCAGATGGGGACTTGGAATCACCACTCTCAAGCGGTGAACCCAGTCCAAGTCGTCCGACAGTTGTTCCGTGCCTAGAGACTCGTAGCATTGAAGTGCACTTGGGACTGTGTACTGCTGATGTTTCTTGAAGTAAATGAATGGACATGCGCATGGTCACTTGGTCTGTGTCAGAACATTGTTGGTTGGCTTTGATAAGAGTTGGGTAAAAATGGACAAACACGAAGTGGACACCCAAGATCAACATAATCTCGACCAAACAAAGAAAAACATACTGACTATGCACTGTTCACTAAGTAGATAGACATGCTTTCAGCATGTGTGGCCTGTTCCAAACCAATCAAATCAAATCAATCGTAGAAACTCCAACGATCCCAACGATGTCGGTACGCCCTCCATACCGCCTCAGCCGGCGGGTTCGTTTCACTCGTCGCGGAGGAGTGAAAACGGCACACCGTCGTCAGGCGGGCGGCGTTGAGGTGTCGCAGCACGAAGAAGGACTTGGCATTGGAAGGCCTCGCCAGGCCGGGCCTGGGCGTCGTATTTTTCGCCAGGGACAAATAGAAGAGCTCCACGCTCGAAAAGTCCGACGTTGGGTTCAGGAGGCATTGGGGTCCTTGCGCCATATTCATGTTTCAAACACCATTACCCTGCGAGAGGTTAAATATTGTTTTGGAGTTACCTGCTGACGTGCTCAGTCCAATTGGATCACAAGCAACAAGCTGAAGAGGTGCGGCATACGGATGGAATTGTTGGTGCGCAACAATCAGTAGCCGAATGTAGCCAGTATACCCTTGTAGAGCCAAATCAGTCCGTGTTAATTGGCAAACCGTTAAACCTCGTCACTTCTGGGCTACATCCAAAGATGGCATAAAGTGTGTGCATGCTTTCGGAAAACATGGGAAAAGGAAGTGCAACATCTAGCGACTGGTCGAACCACTCTAGACACTAGAGACTCGAATAAACGAAGGTCTCTTGACATTGAATCGTATCTATATCAAGCAACGCCGTGTCACCCTGTAGCAGGAGCAAGTAGCGGTCTTTTCCAACAACTCCTCGCCTGTTTGCCTGTGTTTATTATGTGGTGAAACCTCGGAAGCAAAAACGCAACAGCAGTCCATGCGAGCGTGAGGCGCCTCACGGCACGGCGCGTCTTTTGGCGTTGGCAGCCGAAGACTGGTCTATGAACTGAGGGTGTAATTGCCTAGAGCCCAAGTCAAGTGACGCCTGCTGTGGAGGCATAATACGAGTATGGTCTCTTCCCACATCTTCCCACCAAAGGTCATCAGAGTTCGTCCTTAGCAATCCCCTGTCCAAGTGTATATGTGTATATTTAACATCCGTATAATATAATGCATTGAAAAAAGTATCTGCTATTTAACATTGGACCCTCGTAAATTCTTACTTGCACTGGGTGACCAATCGCTTCAAACCGAGCTCATGGCCTATCATTATCTCATTCTCTCAGCTCGTTTGGGCATCGCCAGTGACGCCCCACGCAGGGGAGGTCTTCTTCAAGACCCCATGCGAGCATGTCCCGCAGTTGCTGCAGTTGCTCTTGAAAAAATGGATCCATGAGAGCCAGGGCCATATTGGCTTGTCTTGGCTGAAGAGGGTGGACAATTAACTACTGACTGGGGCGACGCGTAAGGAATGAGGCAATGGATCCTATCAGGTAGTGAGGGGTCATTCCCTTATTCTCTACTAAGCACCAGCCAGATTATTCGTCCAACTTGTTGGTCTTCGTCTTTGGTGAAGACTCCTCCGCCTTCTTCATTGCTGAAGCTCAAAACGATGCACACGAGAGCCGTGATTGAAAGAAATGAGTTAAGGATAGCCTCAAAGTACACCTAGAACAGGTGCATGGAAGAAAGAGATCGCAATCATGACTCCTCCAATGAACCTCTTTTGAGGATTTCCTTGAAACACTGGTCACTATGAAACATTGCCTTTCAAAGAAGTTGTATCATGTTGTATCAACAATGGGCGCTTCTAATTCGCACTTGGACGCTAGACCGCAAAACACGGGACCACAAATCAACACTTTGTTGGCTCACGTCTGCCAACAAGTTGGGTTCCCTACTGCTAAGGGGGCCGTCCCTTTCTTTCACTGAAGGTGACCATTAAGAACCCATCAAAGTAAACCATTCAAGGGGCAGCTGTGGCTTTGCATGCCAAAAGGAAAAAACAAGCAGTCTTCTTCAAACAAACTAGCTCGCATTCTGATCCAATCTGATCCGTTGATCACTTCAGCGTTACTCTCCATCTCTCGTGCTCTAGCCCTCGCCAGGCCGAAACCGGACGGTTCTCCACGTCTCACGCCTCGATCTCCAGCTGCGTGCCCGGGCCGGCGCCTGCCGGCACCTGGACCTGAAACGAAGCGAGTTCTGAGTCTGGATGGATCAAGAAGAACCCATAGAGCGAACCCATTAGATGGGAGAACTCAAAGAATGAAGCGGCGGCCTCCAAACAGTTGCAACCTACAAATAATTCTGGTGAATTTCCATGTGGGGCTGGGTCATGGCACCATGTTCACCCGACCAGTCCACCATGTATGCCGCGAGTAGCAGCGAGTAGCGAGAGACACGACCGGCATGTAATGACCTACCGGGGTTCTGTTTCCGAATTCCCCTGCTCCAAATCCAAACCTGAATTCATCTATCCTGCCAGGCCCCGGTCTGACCCAGAAAACCGAGAAAGCTCCAGCTGATGCTCCGCAAGGGTCTAAACTGTGCATGCCCTCAACTAACTCCTCCTTAACATCCCAAACCCACTTCAGTACCCCTCTCCTCTGCCTTTTCACCATCTTGCATCTCCAAGCGACTTGTACTTCCCGCCCATCCGGCAGCCGCACGGTCATCGACTGCCCAGGCACAGCGCCCGGGGGCACCTGGCGAAGAAGACGATGTGACAGACTCCGTGCCCGCAAGGCTCGGCTAATTTCATGTTGCTTGCAATGAAAAAGGTTGTTGGTTGGTTATGGTTTCTTTTTTTTGCCACACCTTTTTCCGCCTGCCCAGCGTGGGGGGAGCCGGCTGGGGTCAGCGGCTTCCTCCCAGCGCGCGTCTGCCAGGACAGCGGAGAGGTCGGGGGGCTCGCCGTCGAGGGCGTCTTCCCCCGACAAGGGCTGCTCCAAGAGGCTGGCGGCCAGTGCCCGGTGGGCTGCGAAGGCCGCAAGGGCGGACCACCGCTGGCACCAGGTTGCAGTCGCGGCCGCTTGCACCCAGGCTGGAACGGAGCGCGCGCGGGCGCGTGCCAGCTGGTGGATAAAGGAGGCCGCCTCGTCTGCCCACCTTCCACCGACCTCTAGGCCGAAGACGACTAGCCGGCACCGCCGGGAGTCGGCGAACTCGGGGTAGACTTGCCGTCGTTTGCGCCGAGCCGCTTCCTCGACGCTACAACCCGGGACGGTATCTGCTCGCCCGCGGACGGACCCATCACGGCCAAGAGGACTGACCAGGGTCGTGTCGACCGCGAGCTGAGAGCCATGCCAAAGGGGTAGCCCGTTTGCGAGGACCTCGATTTGGCGGGCGTCAGCGCCCGGGATATCGAGGTTCATCTGGCTCAGGGCGACATTGGCGGGATACGGGATCCGCCAGCCTCCCGGCAGATGCGGGCAACAGCTCGCTCCAAGGGATGGCCCTACCCCGTAAGACCCCTGAGGTCGCGCACGCAGCGCGGTGATCGCCGAAAGGGTCGACTGCGCGCCCGCAGCGACATCGAGCAGAGTCGAGAGGAAGGGGGAGTCGTAGGCGGTGGAGGCCCAGCGCACGGAAATGCTGGCTGGCCATCCGGAATTCGCGGGCTGTGGGGAGGGCGACGAAGCAGCGGCTGCTGTAAGGGCCAGCCTGGGAAAGCAGGAGCGCGCGCTCTGCGGGAGCAAGGTCAGACAAGAGCGCTTCGAACTCCAGTTTGTCCAGGACAGCTGTGGCGGCCTGTTGCCAGCCCTGGAGCGGCTCACCGCCGGCCCGTTGCGCTGGCATGGCAAGGGCGTTGGAGGCGCACGCCTCCCAGGGAGGGGTCCGGAAGCCAGCTATGGTTAGCATGGCGGCCGCCTGGGCAGCTTCGAGGATGCTCGGGGGTTGCGGCCGGGCTTCTCCACGGAGCAACTGGACTAGCCGGTCACTCACGGATGGGATGCGGAGGTGTAGGGCCGGGAGGCTGTCTGCCCAGGAGGCCCAAAAAGCCGCATGGCGTGCGTGGTAGGCCGATCGCAGGCCAAGGCCACCGAAGCTAAAGGGTAAGCGGGCGCGCCTGAGCGATAGGTCAGGAAGCGGCGCGCCGGCAGTGAAAAGGGCGGCCAAGCACAATTGGCCACTGCAGCATCATGGGCTTGCGCGTACCCCGCCGTAAGAGAGGGGGGGAGCACGCGGAGAACATAGTTGGCGCGAGGGCACGCGCAGAAAAGAAGGAGAAGGAAGGCGACCTGGAGGTCGGTTAGGCTCGGGATGGCACGCAGTAGCGCGCTTTGCCCTTCCTGTTTCGTTGCCAACTCGCGCTGAACGTAAGCTGGCGCACCCAAGGGCGTGCCAAGGACGGTCAGGCCTTGTTCCTGCGCAGGGAGGTTCCAGTCGCCAACCCATACTCGCTCCGACTCGACTGGCTGCAGGCGGGAGAGGTGGAGAGGCTCTTCCCCGCCAGCGTTCCAGACACGAGTCTTGCCCTGGTGAAGGGTGATGGCAGCGTGCCGTTCAAGAGCGGCTTGGAGTTGGTTGAAGACCACTGCGGTCCTCTCAGGGGATGTGATGGCGTAGACGTCATCAAGAAAGGCGAACAGAGCCTCGCCAGGCTGGAGTTGGCCCTGCACCTCCATCAGTGCGCTATGCTGGGCCAAGCTGAAAAGAGCCGGCATAAGCGGGTCGCCTTGCTCCCCGCCCTCACCCTGATAGATCTGGTGGCCGTGCCCCTCCTGGTCGTACCAGATGTACTCGCTGCGGCTTCCGTAGAAGCTGCGAGCGAAGGGGAGGAGGGAAACGAGGGCTGGGTTGTGGCGAAGAGCGGCAAGCATGGCCTGCCGCGACACATGGTCGTATGCTCCTACACCATCCACGCTTAGGAGGGTTGCGCGGGGGTCCAGCTCGGTTGCCGCGCGAAGTGCCCGGGCCAGCGCCTCCGAGCCAGCCTTGGTGCTAAGAGCATATTGGAAAGGCAAACACGCCTCCTGGACGTTGGCTGCGAAATGGCTGCGGAACACGTCGCCCATCACAAGCCCGCGCACTCCGCCATTGCTTTTGCGCAGGGCGACATGGTTGGTTGGTTGATCCCTTTGGTTGGTTGGTTGGTTGATCCCTTCTACCTTCGCCTACGAAGACGCAGTTTAAGCGACCCGTAGCCTCATGCAATACGTTCGTTTCTCTGATTGTGAAGTCATCAATTCAGGGTCATCAACCAAGAGAGGTTAAGTGACCTGAAAATGGACCCGTCACCTGAGATAGTCTATGGATGTCTATCTATATATATACCTGGATCTTCGAAACGGCACAAATAATTGCCTTTTCAGGAAAAATGCCGTTACGGCGTCTTTTTCCAAA